AGGGAAAGCTGGGACCCGGTGGGACACTGCCCTCTGATGGACCCAGTGCTGGTGCAGTGCGTTTATTACATACAGTATAATTTCAGGAAGTTTTACTAGCGTTTAAAACAAAGGAAATTATGTGAAATTATGGTTAAAGATCAAGCTGCAATTCTTCATTCTTGTGGCTTCTTTGTAATTGTCACTCCTGGCGGAACCTGGATAATTGCGTCCGTCCCTTGCGCCTGGCTGAACTTAGATAATGAAACCCACCCCCTGGCACCTGAGCTAAGGGTCAGGCTGACAACATACCTGCCTCTGACATGGTACGTTTTCCAGGACATGGCTCTGCCGACACCAGTGGACTCAGCAGATCATTAACTCATGTGCCTTCCCAGGCGCTCTCTACACTCTTCCTTCCTCACTAAAAATCAATAAAAAATATATTCTAAAAATAAAATTTTACTTCCCTGTTAAAATGTACTAGCACTTCCTTTAAGATCCTGGCCTGCCCTGGACGATTTGGCTCAGTGGATGGAGCGTCGGTCTGCGGACTGAAGGGTCCCAGGTTCGATTCTGGTCAAGGGCATGTGCCTTAGTTGCGGGCACATCCCCAGTGGGGGGTGTGCAGGAGGCAACTGATTGATGTTTCTCTCTCATCGATGTTTCTAACTATCCCTCTCCCTTCCTCTCTGTGGAGAATGAAATATATATATATATATATATAAAAGGATCCTGGCCTAAGTCTCTTCTCTATATCTGAGGAACAGAGCCATTACTGTAAAGATGGCCAACTGTGCTTTAAGCACTCTGAACTTTCTTTTCCTGAAACTTTGTCTTCAGCTGAGACAGTATCTTTTGAAAGGTTGAAATATAAAGGAATTCAAGGTAAGGACATAACCTGATGTTGACTGAAGTTTTATTAGCAATCAGTTATTTGCTACAAATCTGCATTCTGTAAGATAATCATTAAATTATAAAATTATAACTTTTTAAATAAGTACATGTCCAACCTTTTATTTAAATACTTACTTAATTTTTTAAAACAGATAAAAAGAAAAAGGAAAGTTATTTACCTCCTCTTAGTGTATGTATCCACTCCTTTTAAACACACCCACAAATAAATGCCCAAAGCCAAAGTCAACACTGGCTCTGGGCGGAATCACAGCTTCCCCACAGGAAGAAAGGAGCCGTATTTGGTCACAGCCCGGACGAAGCTGCTGCAGAATTTCAGGAAGTTACTATTTGCTTTGGAATTTCCAATTTTATGTGTTAACTGCTCAGTTCAACCTCTTTTTAATATTTGAAAGATTAAACTCTAGAAAGTGAACGTGAGTCTACTGGAAGGACTTTCACATGAGCACTTTCTTTAACCTACCTGTGCACCTGCCCCATCTAAGAGAAATTAAGATTAAACTCAGTAACTTGTTCCTATTATGTTCATTCTTCCATTAGAATTTAAGGAAACTTTACTTAAAAATATTTTGGACAAATTTCAGTGTTAATTCCTGAAATCTATAAACCAGAACTTTCACAAGAGAGTATTTTTTCCCACTTATTACGGGGGGGGGGGGGAAAGAGCCAGAGAGAAAATTAATGGATATGAGAGAGACACATCAATTGATTGCCTCCAGAACTCCCCCTGACCAGAGATAGGGATTGAGTCTGCAACCCTGGTATTGAACCTGAGACCCTTTCATGCACGGGCCGACGCTCTAATCACTGAGTACACTGGCCAGGACCAAAACTTTTTTTTTAATGATCAATAATCTAGAAACATCAGCAATTTCTTTATGTTAAAAAAAAAAAGGGTAAGGTATCCAGGTAGCTAAAAAAAATTTAAAGACCCTGAATTGAAAGGCCTCAGCTTGCACCGGGAAATGGGAATGAGGACTCTAACAGTAAGCCTTGAGTAAATGCATACCTATGCACAGAATATGTTCAGAAAATATATGAATTAATAGTCATTTCATGATACAAAAACACAAACGCAAACAGAAATTCTGATGTTCTACTATTAACAAGACATCACAACCAACTTACAGAAAACCACCAATTATCACCATTGGAGGCTTCAAAAAAATCATTCTGTGTAGTTTCTAGAACATTCAAAGCTGAAGACACTACCTATAGCAGAGTTCAAGTCTGAAGCAGCCTTTACTCAGACTGCCCTTCCAGAACCACCAAGCCTAACCCTGGGGTTAGTTGATACTTGAGTCAACTGAAGATAGAGTTCAAACAAGAATTTTTAAAAATATGTTTTTATTGATTTTAGAAACATCGATGAGAGAAAAACATCAATCAGCTGCCTCCTGCATCCCCCCTACCAGGTATGGAGCTTGCGACCCCGGCATGTGCCCTGACTGGGAATAGAACAAGTGACACCTCCTGGTGCAGGGGACAATGCTCAATCCACTGAGCCACACCAGCTACACTCAAAACAAGAATTTATATCTAACTGTCTATCACCCTCAGTCAGTCTCCTTCAAAATCAACTTCTCTATTAAGTCATCTTTAAACATTCCCTCCAATAATGGGAAGACATGTGACAAAGCAAACAGCAAAATGTTGATTACAGAATCCAAGCAGTGGGTATCCATGTATACATGTGTTTTATTGGACAATTCTTTCAACTTTTCTATATGTTTGGAATTGTTCCTATTAAAGATGCTGGAGGAATAATATTCCTTCTGATGACATCTGTTAACTGCCGATCAGGAACCAGTAGCATGGTTCCTG